CTCCTCCACTCCGCCCAGCCCGCTCAAAGTTGCGGGGATCTCCCTTCTGGAGGCAGGCTCGTCATTTTTCAATGGTGACACCGCGAGGGCGGGGGAGCCGGGGGAGAGGGAGGCGAAAGAACGCGCTATAAAAGGACCCGTTCGCGCCTCGCACGGCACAGGCACAGTGTGAACGCGATAATTCGGAGAGAAGCCCCAGCGAACGGAGCGGTAACAGCCGATCCTGCCACTGCGAAGCGGCTAGGGAGCAGGATGACCGCGAATAGCGGCCAGGCACTCAGGCAATCCCGACCCCCTACTTCCCCGGGTGGCTCTCCAGCAGCCTAGCCAAAGGCGGGGAAGTTGGGGTGGGATGCAAGGGAACGAAAGAGAAGTCAGAGTCCCGTGTAAACACACGGCGCTCAGCCTCAGCAATAACATCACCTTCCCCCCAGCCCTTCCTTCTGTATTGGACACACAGCTGCTTTGGGTAAATGAATCCCCAGCCGCTTAGGGAGGGAAGGAGAGAGAGGGGCTTTCTGCTCTGGGGCACACATTTATGGCTCCCAGGACACACCCGGGCGTAGGACCCTTTTCTCTCACTACTGGGAGTTCGGAAGTGAAAGCCCAAATATTCTTCAGACTTACACAACCTGGAAAAGGTTGCTAGGCAAGCCGATTCCCTCTGTTCAAAAAATCACTCCTCCTGCGTATGATTAAGAGCTGGTTAGAAGGAAACACGCCTACGCAGCCCAGGGAACCTTCCAGCTAAAACCGATACACACTCTTTGTCTTACAGAGAAACAAGACAACCAATATACTTTTAAACGAGAAGATAAACCAGCTAGTCTACAGGGCTTTATAACCACTGAATGTATCCTGTGCTGCGCCTACAAACATCTCTACGTGGGCGGTAGATTTATTGATCGCCCTCTAATGGGCAATTATGGATTGCTGTTATTGTTGTGTTTGATAAAATATGGATGTGTTCTCTATTGGGCACTGGCAATATGTACCAGGTATAGAAAATCCATATGGTCTCCCCCAAGGAGTTTACCAATACATTTGACACAATAGGTTTCACAATCCTGATTAGCCTAGAATCAGAGGGGTCTGAATCTGCATAAACAACCAGAAATCCTTTGGCACCTTACAGACTAACAGATTTATTGGAGCATAAGTTTTCGTGGGCAAAAGTGGGTCTTTGCCCACCAAAGTTTGTGCGCCAATAAACGTGTTAGGAAGGTGCCACAGGACTTTTCCTTATTAGCCTATTTTCTGTAAGCATGGCTTTTGGACCCCCCTCTCGGGTCTATCAATTTGGTTTTGGTCGATCTGTCTCTGATAGTGGTCAAACTTTACAATTACTGTTCTATGTACATAATTAATAGGTTTCGTGCAACGGTCGTCTCCTTGTGTGTATATCTCCCCCATTAGACAGGCTTTAAAACTTGTTATTGTACTGGTCCCGCTTTCAAACTGCCCTATTTTCCCTTTAGGTGTATTCAGCTCAAAAGCCAGCTCTTTCCAATACCATGTTTTGAAGCTTAAACACTTCCTTGCAAAATATACCATTTCGCAATACAAAGCTCAACATGCTGTTATTTGAACGGATAGTTCAGTTGCTCCAGTTTCGACCATTATTTCCCTAAATCCTTTAATCTACAAAGAACTATTTTCACATCGAGGGCAAAAGCTTATGGAAGCATCTCCTTTACACACATTTCATGTTAAACCTAGATCAACTCGGAGGAGTACACGCTCAATTAGATCTGGATAATACGTTTTAATTCAATTTTATTTGAAAGTGGTTCTAAACAGATTCAGCTAAAAAGCATTCAGATTGGATTTTCTGTCTGGCGATTTCAACCGTGCGGCAATTTCCATACAATTGCTACAGTTACCCTAATTAATACAATCAGAGGAGTTTTAAATTTGATTGTATTTGATGTCGTGTTTTCGCGTTGTATAATAGACTGTGTTTAAAACTACTTCCCTTCCTCACACTTTAAAAAGACTGAGGGTTTAGTCCATACTGTCTTCTAACTGGATCCGTCCTCCTACTGCGACAGGACAATGAAACCTCTGTGGTGAACTTCAGCATTTTAAAGGTGGGACATTTCCCTTGCTTTGGAAGTACCAGAACAAAAAGAAAGGAGTCCTTCAGAAAGGGGCCGTGGTTGTTTATGCGGGTATTTCAGACAAAGGGGGGGGAGCGAAGCAAGAACCCCCACCCCCACCGCGATCTAGCTTTGTTTGTGATAGCGTTGCCTTGTGATTTAGCCACGCGGTTTGCGTCAACAACGCCATACTCCCTTAAAGGATCGTTCTAAAACACTCATTGATAAATAATCGACAATCAGTGCTCACTTTATCTAATCTCCTCTAAACAGAGCTTCACTACAAACATGTAAAGTTAACTCAGTTTGCCACTGTAAATCTGAGGGTTTTTGCTGTAAGGTGGGAAAGGGACGGTGTTTCCTACTCCAGAGATCAAACATAAAAGCTTTCTGCTTGCTTCTCAGAAATGCAGAATAGTTGTTTACAGCTTTAGATATACCAAAGAAAACTCAAGGGAGCCCTCTGCTGTCTTAACCTATGATAAAATGTGTGTAATTTTAGTCAGAGTGAAGGTTTTGCTAACAGACCTATGGAAGTATAGACACATCAGTTTTCCCAAGGTCCAGTAATTACATTGTGTTTAGGAGAAAAAATTTGCTGCATTAAAACCTCCCTATTTTCTTTCAGATTAAGAAAAGTGTGGATATCTAAACCCATCAAGGGGATTGAAGGAGCACTAGGCTTTTCAATATTTTCTGGTTTTCCCTCTTCTCATTTCTAACTACTAATTTGCTGTTTTGCTAGGCACATTTCTAAAACATAAAAAAATGGAAAATCTCTACATTATGTCTTTTTATGAGTGTTGCAAATTCACACTCAAAATGTTTAAAATCTAGGTAAAATTCTAAAAAACGGAATTAAAGTACTGATAAATATTTGTCTCAAATCAAATTCATTTGAGCTAGATGCAGCTGGCTATGTAAATAAACAATGTCATTTATTTAATTGTTAATTATTTCAAAGATTAACTTAATGCTAATGTATTCCTTTTAAATGACCAAACTGCTTGTGGATAAAGTAACAAACATATGCTAATTAACATTTTTCTTTCCATATATTAACAAAACACTTTGTCAAACAAGAAACCTTTGATATAAATGTATGTAGATTCCATATTGCCTTTCATTGGCATTTCAGGTAAAAAGAAATAAATAACTGTAAATAGGCCTGTTAAGTGATTACAAATTAATCATGCTTAATTGTGCAATTAACAATGCTCTTATGCAATAATAGAATACCATTTGTATACATATATTTTGATTTTTTTCACATTTTCAAATATATTGATTTCTGTTACAACACAGAATACAAAGTATACAGTGCACACTTTGTATTTATTATACATATTTACATTGTAAAAATAAAAGAAATAGCATTTTCATTCACTTGATACAAGTATTGTAGTGCATTCTCTTTATCATGGAACTTGAACTTACAAATGTAGAATTATATACAAAAATAACTGCATTCTAAAATAAGACAGTGTAAAATTTTAGAGCCTACAGGTCCACTCTGTCCTATTTCTTTTTCAGGCAATCACTCAGGGTATGTCTACAATACAGAGTTTTGTCGGAAAAAATGCCCATTTTTCTGACTAAACCTGAGTTATGTCCACACAGCAATCACGTTCTTTCTAAAGTAAATCGAAAGAACAGAGGGTTTTTTCCGGTGTTGGTAATCCTTTTTCTACGAGGAAGAAGCCTTTTTCCAAAAGAGCTCTTTCGGAAAAAGGTGTGTGTGGACTAGGAAGAGGGAGTTCTTTCGGAAGAAGGGGAAAGAGGAAAAAGCACAGGTGCCCTGGTGGCTATCCATAGTAATCATCCATAGTAATCATAGCTTACATGCAAGATAGCGTCCATTCAGTCTGGACACTATCTTTTGAAAAAGCAGATTGTTTTTTCGATGCGCTTTGGCAGTGTGGATGCTCTCTTTTGAATGAAGCTTTTTTGGAAGCTCTCTTCCGAAAAAAGGTTCTTCCGAAAAAAGTCTGCAGTACAGACATTGCCTCAGACAAACAAGT